TTCATGTTATTATCAGTGTTGTTGGCTGTTATTATTAAAGCGTCCATTTTCGAAAAATACTTTATCATTGGAAGTAAATACTTATAAAATTTATCCTTTTTTACTACCTCTTTTTTTGCAATATCATTTATATTTACAACTTCATTGACATTTGAACTACAAAGGCGCTTCATTATATTACAATAACAAAACAATAATATGAAAATAGAAGGAGAAATGTTAATGACAATAGTGGAGATAAATTCATTCACAATAAAAGTAATGCGTATAATAATCATTAATATTATCATTGTTAATACTATTATCGTTAATGTTAATAATACTGAACATAATCAAAATGGCGAAAATAAAAATACTCATTATGATGACATGATAATGGTAATAATATAATAATAGTAATAGTAATAATAATAAAGATAGTATTAATAATAATAATAATAATAAGCATGATAATAACAATAATGATGATAATATTAGCAACAATAGTAATAGTAAAGATGATAGTAATGATAATAATGAAAATAATAAAAACAACAATAATAAAAATAATAAAAACAACAATAATAAAAATAACGAAAATAGTAATATTAATAACAATGATAACAATAATGATAACAATAATGATAATAATAATGATAAAAATAATGATATTAAGAACAACGATGATAATGATAATGACAATTATAATTATAATGTTAATAATACTACTACTAATAATGATAATAATAATAATAATAACAAAAATGACTGTAATGACGAAATGGTAACAATAATAATGATAAAAATAATATTAACAATAATAATAACAATAATGATAATACTAATAATGATACTAAGATAATAATTATATAATGAAAACAATAATAAGGATTATAATAATGATAATAATAGTAGTAGTCGTTGTAATAATAATAATAAGAAAAAAAATTATAACAAATAGTAATATTGATAATATTAATAATGGCAGCGATAATAATAATGACAATAATAGTAGTAATGATAATGATAATAATAATAGTAATAATTATAATAATAATAATAATGAAAATAATATTGATAATGGCGATAATACTAATGAAAATAACAGTAGTAATCATAATGACAATAGCAATAATAATAATAGCAATAACAGTAGTAATAATAATAGTAATGATAATAATAATGATAACAACAATAATAACAATAAAAATATTATAATAATAAATTATAATAATGATAACAATATTAATATAATATCATAAATGATAATAATGATAACAATATTAATATAATATCATAATATTGGTGATAATAACAACAATAGTGATAACAATACTACTACTACTAACAATAATAATAATAATAATAATAATAGTAATAGTAATAGTAATAGTAATAGTAATAGTAATAGTAATAGTAATAGTAATAGTAATAGTAATAGTAATAGTAATAGTAATAGTAATAGTAATAGTAATAGTAATAGTAATAGTAATAATAATAACAATAATAATAATAATAAAAATATTGATAATAATCATGTTGATAATTATAATAATAATAATAATAACAATTGTAATAATAATAATAATAATAATAATAATAATAATAATAATAATAATAATAATAATAATAATAATAATAATAATAATAATGATATAATAATAATAATGATAATAAAAATAATAATAAAAATAGTACAAATAATAATTTTAGTAATAATAATAATAACAAAGATAATAATAATGATAATAACAGTAATAGTAATAATAGTAATAATGATAATAAATAAAAATTATAATAATGATAATAATAATAATAATAATAATAATAATAATAATAATAATAATAATAACAATAATAATGATGATACTAATAATAAAACAATTGTTATAATATCAATAACAAAAACAACAATAATAATAATAATGACGAAAATGAAAAAAAGTAATAAAAGTAAAAATAACAGCAATAACAACAGTAACACTAATAAAAATAATACCAATAATGAAAATAACAGAAATAAATGACAATAACAATAATGATAACAATAACAACAACAATCACGATCAAAATAAACTATGCAATCTACCAACATCTCAGAATGATAACTAGGAAATAAGTATGTTGCATGAACCGAGAGCACAGGCTTGCAACACTGCATGCCCAAAAGTCCTGCAGTTCACGCGTCTTCCCAGGAGTGGCACCATTGTGTTCATAAAGCTTCATTCACGTCCTAAGTCACACACGATTCACAAGAACACGAATACGAGAACGAAAGTAGAACAAGGGAGGAAAGTTATGGAATGTTTTGCAATGTTCATTTTTTCTTTTCTCTTTTCTTTTCTTTCACAGTTTTTTTCTTTTCATATATCTCGTGAAGTGGTAAGCTGTTCAGAACATACCCTTTCCTTGCCCAGAATGGCGCGCTACACTGTTTCTCTCTCGAATGCCCATCAACTACTGGCACCTTCGCCTAGTCCCTGGCACTGGCACTGTGGCATGCCCTCCTCTGCCCCTCTTC